CACGATGGAAGGATGTAAATTGGACTATAATCACAATCTGATAGATAGAGAGTGGGGCTCCGTCCCCGGTACTTGCAGAGGCCATATGCATTTGTAGCATAGTAACCTCTCATCGCTTGTGACACTCTCTCGCTACCAGTTGAGCTACGCCCACCGGTAGGGTATTATTTCATACTAACATGTTATAATGGGTTTAATGCACCAAACCCCCTTGTGGTATAGAAATTCAGCGCATTAGCCCCTTGTGATTTGAAAAATGCGTCAAACCCCCTTGTGTTTTAATTAATCATGCACAAAACCCCTTTTGTGAATAAATTTAATGATCTGGAAACCACTTTTCCTAATATTATGATTGAATATGCAAGTAAATATGTCATAATCTCTAAATTATACATAAATGTTAATTATTTTTCTTTTATTTGACAATTGGATTTGTTCATAGAAGGGATTTTGCGCATAATTAATTAAAACACAAGGGGGTTTGACACATTTTTTAAATCACAGGGGGCTAATGCGCCGAATTTTCATATCACAGAGGGATTTGGTGCATTAAACCCATGTTATAATGCATAATAAAATCTAAAAAAAAAATCGTAATTTTTTTAAATCGTACAAAAATAAAAAAAAAATAAAAAAAATTAAAAAATAGTAAAAAAACATTAAAAAAAATTTAAAAAAATGCAAACCTTTCCCACCGCCTCCTAGAACCACCACATTCGATCAGTAAAAATTATGTCACTTTTTATAAAAACAATTCCATTTTTTCCCGAAAATGCCAAGAAAATAACATAATTACTCTTCATAATGCCAAAAATCTCATTGAATCTGCCATTATTATGGCATTACTAGAATTGTTGGCAGATTTCTTGTTATGATTTTTTTTAAAAAAAAAATTAATATAAAATAGAAAAAAACACTAAAAAATGGATAAATCTGATTGGTACAGATTCTACCGTTATTTGTCAAAAATGCCATTGTTTTCCGAAAATGCCAAGAAAATGGAATTTTTACTCATCATAATTCCAAAATTATCATTGATTCTGCCATTATTATGGCATTACTACAAATTTTGGCAGATTTCCAACCGGTGATGAGAGGTGGTGGTGCTGGGGGGGTTTGCATTTTTTTATTTTAAAAAAAATTAAAAATTTATTTTATTTTATAAATATTTTATTATTATTTTTATAATTTTTGACGTTTTTATTATTTTTTTTTATTATTTTCTTATAAATTTATTATTAATTAAGACCTTTTAAAAGCCTCAAGGGCATACTTGTCCAAATACACATAAAATAGTCCTACTAGATGGAAGAAAAAATATGTAGTCCTATTTGTGCTCTTGGCTCACTTTTTTGCCCTATTTAGGCAATTAACTCTTCCTATAAATGATACTCCCTAATATTGTCTCACTATAATTGTCTCATCTTTCTCACTAAAATTGTCACATACTCAATTACGTAAAGTTTTTTGTAGTTCTATATTATTTTTACTTTATTCTTAATTACTTTATCAATTCAAAAACATTCAAATAAATTAATTTTTCTTAATAACCGAATCACCTTCGACCTCATGTCTCAATGTTATTACTTATTAGTGGGATGAGGGTAATATATATATCAAAATGGTCATAAAGACAATAATTACTTTATAATGAATCAAATTGTATTACGTGTAATAATTTAAAAGTAGCAATATAAGTGGCTAAATTATACAGTCTCATACAACTGATGATACCATTTGTAGAGTAGATTCAATTTTTTTTACTAATAATTTGCTATGTCAAGGGTGAAGTTGCAATGCCCGATCAAAGTCTTTTTAATTCTGTCCAGTAGCGGCATACCTGCAAAGATCTGAAGAAGCTGTTTGGTGTCTCGATTGCAGGTCTGCAACGACGTATCTAGCCTACAGTGCTTGAAGTCAATTGCCGGTTGTCCACGAGGTCAGGGTTTACCAGGTGTTCGCCGGTTGTGTCGTCTTTCTAATTCAATCATCATCTCAGACATATTCCTGTCATTGTCGGTGATGGAAGGCCGCCGTAGGTTGGGAGAGATCCCCTCTTGGGTGATATTACTTCGTCGCTGAAGAGTCAAGTCCTTCAGTGAGTATTCTGGTCGTTATTGGGGAGTTTTGTGCCATTATACTCCGGTCGTATAAAATAGATATTTATTAGTCATTTTACAAGTTCATATATTGTATTTTTTTTAAGATCCGAGGTTCCATCCTAAAAGGTCAACCTGATAGGAGGAGTAGTCAATGTCTTAATATAGCACTTTGTTGATTCAAAGTTTTCCGGTGTGGGATTCTAACACCCCTCCTCACGACCAGACATTTCGTCGTGATCGTGCCGTCATTCATTTTTTTCGTCGGTTCGTCATCCATTTTTTCATGTCGTCATTTTTCATTGGGGGCCCCACACCATGGATCGGTTTGGTTCTGATATCATGTTAAGATCCGGGGTTTTATCCTAAAAGGTCAACCTGATAGGAGTAGTCAATGTTTTCCGGTGTGAGATTCTAACATATTTTAGTAAGATTATATGTGGATTTTAGAAATTCATAGGTTGCATCTTATCATTATGACATTTGGAACATATAATCAACTAACAAGCATATGAAATATTAGAATTATAATGCATGTATCCATAACTTATACTAGAACTACATAGCGGTAAAAATACGTCAAGGTTGCATCCTACTAGTTCATATGTTGCATTTTATCACTATGACATGTGCATGGTAGAAGTATGTATATTGCTTTTTAGTAAGATTATACATGCACTTTATATGTTAATGCTGCATCTTATCATTATCGCATCTGCATGTACACCCAACTCACATGCATACTAAATTTATGAGGTTACAATATGCATAATATTTGTGGCACTTTAAGGTAGAAGTATTTAAACATTTTTATTTTTGCATAAACACAAAATTGATGAATTTCATGAAGATTATTTTTCCCGGCGTGCGCACTGGATTCAAAACCAAAACATTAATTGTGATGAATCTCATAAAGAATAAAAAAAATTATGGCGTGCAAGATTTCATGGGTACAGGGATGGAGATGTGGATGGAGATGGCGATGGGTATGGGGATAAAAATGGAAAAAAGGATGGAGATGAATATGACGATGGAAATGGAGAAAAGATATGAACGCTGCAGAGAGAAGATGTAGATTGAGGAGATATACATACCTTGCAGAGAGAATCAGGGATGATCCTTAATTTTTTCCAAAAACAATACTTTTGCAGTTTCACTACCATACCCCTAACTACCATTATAAACTACATTTAATTAAAGAGTATAAGATGTAAATGAATGGTCATGATTTGTTTGTAGTTGGTAAATTAAGAAAGGTTTGCATGTGATGTCTAATATCTATAAATGCATGCATATATGCATCCATCCATACATTGATACATCCATCCATACATACGTACATACATACATTTATACGTACGTATGTACGTACATACACACATACATACATGAAAAGAAAAAAAGTGTAGATATGCACAAAATTAATCCGACATATTCTAAATCTCTTAAAGGTAGAGCGTGCGGGTCCTACACGTCCACCGTGGATATGAGATAAGAAAATTGTTGATCTCCAAGAGATGTGATTAATATTTCTTTAAGTTGTTCAACAAAGCTTGTAGTGGGTGGTGGTAATTTCAGTATGTAGTTGAGTTGATCCCGAAATAAATGACAAGTTGTGTTTCTATGTTTGTTTTGTCCATGAAAGACATAATTTGATGCGATGTGGAGTGCAATTGCACAAAACAGAGTGATTGCTTGAGTATGCTGAACTTCGAGAGATATAAGAAGAGATTTGGGCCATATTAACTCAAGTCAAAGTGATTATAGACTGATATTTTGATATAGCAAAAGATGAGGACATAATGACGTGTTTCTTGATACATCGATAAATAGGAGGATGGACAAAAGTAGCATCTTTGTGAACTTGTCGTGGTGTTTACATGAAATTCAAAATTGATTAACCGAGTAGGAAATATATCTTAGAATAAGCGAGTAGCAAGTAATTGAGCTTTCCATCTGCACGACGATCATGCTCAAGTTTGGGGAGAAAGAAAATGAGATGGTGGTTGTTAATTTATAACCCAAAAATGAGTGAGTTTTGCACTTCTGTGGCTCTGTGTCCAACTTCAATCAGAATGCTCTTGATGCATTTCTGCTAATGTCAAATTCCTTAAGGTTTTCAAATTTAAGAGGTCAACTTGATAAGATGAGCATTTCATGATCTTATATTTTATTTTATTTTATTGTATACTGAACCACTATGTGGAAAAATCACATCAACATATCTTTAGCTCAAATCGGGTAGGATAATTTGAGGGTAAATAAATGGGTCAAACAGACTCTAAATGGGTTAACCTAAATCGCGAGTGCCAAATAAACAATCAAATATCAATCAAACCCTATTACTTTGATAACATGAAGAAAACATAAATAAAAGTGAAAAGTTTTTTTCTTAAAATTCCATCTAAGAATGCATGTGTAATGCGTATATACAATCACCTCTCATCATTTACTAGTCTCCCAAAAAGAGAGCAAATACTATCTCTTAAGTAGTTAATACATATGAAAGCTAAGGAAAAAGAAGGAAGCTTCAGAAGGACATTGCTAACACACGCGAACCCGGAAGGAAAATATATTTAGTGAAATTACAGATATAATTATGTGTAAAAATAATCCCATGCATATCACTTTCAATGCAAGCACAATAGACTATGACTTGAATATGTGTACTTGTATTCACATTTAATGGCATGATTTCATAAAAAATTGAACGAGACTTTAGTACTATAAACCATTGTTCTAAAACTCGCTAGGCGCTAGTCGGGCGGTTGAGGGGCGCCTAGGCGGCCGACCAGGACGATATTTTGGCCGACTAGACCAATTTTTTGACCGACTAGGCCGACTAGGCCTCTACAGTTAGCCGATTTTTAGAACAGTGCTATAAACACACACATTCTCATTGAACCTTTTTAGAAACATACCTTCCATACCTTATTCATGGGAGACGTAATGTAAATCAAATGTGGCAAATACACTAACAACAAACAAGGATTATGCATCCTGGGAGACGTAATAGAGCCAATGGAGCCATGTGGACCAAAACAAAGCTAAACTTATTTATCTTCCTAGCTACTCAAATATTGAGTGAACTACAAACAAATCAAAGAAAAAAAATTGTACTTCTAAAATATGACACTCCACCTATGCAGAAGCGGTTGAAGAACTAGTGACCACTCCCTTTTCTCCTTCAAGTGAACTTGGTATGACCGTTTTAGCCGATTCACCTGTGGCACCAACTCCACCGTCCATATTAGATGAATTAGTAGTCACTTCCTTCTTCTCATCATTTTTCTCATCTTTTGTTTCATTCTTATCACTCATTCTTTTCTTTTCGTCATCTTTAACATCTTTTGTTTCCTTACTAGTGTCCTTTGGATCATTTGTATCCTTTGCAGGAGGGGGTGGAGGCATCATATGTGGTGGGGGCTTTACCTTCAACTTCTGAAGAACTTGACGCATTCTTGATAGGTCAGTTGGCTTACCAGGCTTTGGACCTTGAATGACCGTGATTCCAGGTTTCCTTTCATCTTCCTTCTTTCGTCCCCTTTTCTCAATATTTGCAACCTCACGTGGTATTAGCTCCGCAATTGCCTTCCAGTAGTGCTTATCAGCTTCTTTATGGAATTTCTCCTGGTTGGTTAGATACAATTTCTCACTTTCTCGATTTTGGGCTTTGGTATTGTCACAATTTTTGTTCCTTTTCTCATAAAATGCTCGGATATATTCATTAGCTTCTTGGATAATTTGGTTTCTCATTTCCTTCTCTTTGTTTTCCTTCTCCTCAAGATATATAGCATTTTGGCGACGCCACTCGCGGAACGCGACTGCTTCCTCCACCATCTGGTTGGGGTCTGGAAGAAGAGGCCCACCCCCGCTACCGCCAGAGTCAAAGATCCCCTCAGAATCATAAGGCTTGGACTGGACATCAGACCTAGGAGAACCATGTGCCTCTGAGCTTTCAATGGGATAATCTGTATACTCTTGATTTATAGAGGCTGCAAACCCGTAAGCCTTAGAGGACCGCACACCATCGTTATTACCAATACCGCCACCAAAATAATCATGCGGTGGCGGCTGAGGAGGAGGAGGGATGTCGTCGTTGCCTTCCACTGTTGCAGGTTCATCAAATGCGTAGTGTTCTGACGAGATTTGATGATCATATCCAATGTAGCCATCATCATTGAAGGGTTGTGAAGAAGGGTTGTTTCCATCGCTTCTCCTCATGCCATTGCTCTCGTCCGATGACGTCATTCCTGAGATGATGCATATTTATATGAAAGTGGTATTTCTATCAAGCATATATTTACACATGCATACATTCACATTCATACCTGCGGAATGAAGCTTGAGGGCGTGTAATCTGAAAATTAAGGATGTGTCGGAAATCTCCTCCGCTTGCTACTTAACTAAGCATGAATTCTTATGGAAAATATAAAGTGAGTATGTAAAGAGAGGAGAGTGCGGAAATACATTGATTGGAGACAAATAGTTGCGGAGTTTAAAGAATTAAACAAACTAAAATTGAAGGAGGAGAGTAAAAGGAGGCCATGTAGAATTTAAACAAAAAAATGAAGTGACATAAAGAGAAGAAATGTCTATTGATGATCACAAACATTTGGTGGAGGGGAGTGTTTTGTGCTATAATAGTTATTGTTGTTTATTCCTAGCTAATTCCATTTTTCTAAATTGTGTGTGGGCGCATATATGAGTGAGTAAGATCACATGCAGTCCAAAGCCACTAGGAGCTCAAAATGTCATAAAAATGGATATTCTGGAACACTAAATTCTTACATTGGCATAAAAATGAAGAGGTTAGAAGTGGACAGGGGATGAGGGGGTTCATATTCGGCTGGTGGATCGACTCTCAAACAACCAGATGTCTGCACAAGAAACAATAGTAAAGGCAAGTGGGAGCAAAGGTAAAAATCTCTTTTTAAAGCGTAATAACTTTTTATTTCTACTTCAGTTCAAACATTACAACAAATAAAATCAAAATTTATAACTTCTCATTAGTTTTCATATGAAACCGAAATTCCATTTATAAAGTATTTTAAAAAAATTATGTTCCAATAGCTTGAATTTTTAGGCTAAAAACTACACGAAACATAAATTTTTAATCCATGTGCCTCAGCTCCACAAATAACTGAGCTTTACTTGAACCCATTTTATTATTTATTAATTGAAACAAGTCAAAAAATACATATAATGAATTTTGTATTCTTTAACATCAAAATGTGCATTTTTAATTGGAAAAAATGGATTTAATAATGCCAACTATACCCGGTCCGCTTTTAATAATCCCTACTAGTTATTATTATTAGGTGGTCCTAACTTAGGTGGGCTTTTTCCATTAATGATCCCAGTGACCTGTAACCGGTTAAGAAAGTAAAAAAACACGCCCAAATTTGAAAACCCTCTCCCAGTCGTGAACACCCAAAACAGCCATGCTATCTTCCTTCCCAGTTCACGATCTTCCTTCCCTGCACTTGGCTCTCATCAACCTTTCCCTACACGACGCCCAATAGTAGAGCAATCTCCTTTCATCGTTCGTCCAACCGCAAGTTACAGTGGGAAAAGCTCAAGCGCCTCACTTCAAGGGTCCCATTGATTTCGACTGTTAATGTAAAGATTAAGTTTTTATTTTTCAAAATTTTAAATGTCCTCAAGTGCACAAAAATTAGGGTTAATTCTTCCTTAATTAACTTCAACAAAGTCGTTTAGTTTGAATATTAGGAAAAGTATGTCAAATCATATAGTTTCTGGTTCATTTAAAATTGCCTATGTTTTTGCAATTTTGCTTCATAACTTCATTGAGGATAGCGTTTATTGTAATATGTTTGCTTCCAAATTTTTAGGTTGTATTTCATGACAAAGGATTTAAAGCTGCCAGGGGAGGTCAAGGAAGAGGAAAAAGCGCAAGTAGAAGGGAAAAGGCCAAGTTCCAGTTGGATTTGGTGTAATCATTGGTGGACAAGGGATTAATGCTTGGACAAGTACCTACAATTCTGCAGCTCCAACAGCTCATTCAGTGTGAATTGGAATAATATTCAAGCACATGCAATCACTACTTTGTTAAACTATTATGTAGTTCAAGTCCAGTTGTATGAAGATTATGTTGTAGTACTCTACTTTGTGAAGTGTTGTTTTTGCTATTATTATGTGATTCTGAAGCTACTGTATGAGCTATTGTATTTTGTCAAGTCCAGTTGTATGAAGGTACTGTATTTTTTTAGTTTTCTAAATGGTTTATTTACATTACAATATGTTTTGTTTATTAATCAGTGTTTGCATTACGGGTCGGTGGGCATTCTTTAAACAGAATATGAGCAATTGCCAGGGGACACAAGAGGTGTTTGTAGATAATAGTACACCAGGAAGGAAAGTTAGTACAAGTTAATTCTTAAAATAGTTTTTACTAGTCATTATAGATCCTTAGCTCCTGATCATCTAGTATACAACTGTCCACATATGTAACTTCTCTTTCAATTCTTATTGTTAGTTTTTTGTATTTCAAACAATGTAAATAGTATGTATTCTTATGTTTTTATTCAATGGGCAAGTTCAGGTTTATGTAAATAGTAGGTTCAGGTTTTTATTCTTATGTTTTAACAATGTAAATAGCAGGTTCAGGTTTTTATTCTTATGTTTTTAACTTTTAACAATGTAAATAGCAGGTTCAGGTTTTTGTTTTTCTCAATGGTTGTATTGTCAACTGTAAAAGGTTAATGTATCTCATTTACAGCACCACAACCTGCCCTCAAATTTCATTCTCTCTTTCACCTTTTTTACAAATAATATATATGTTTTCAACCAAAGCATTAGCTTTCAAAGGAGCCTGATATGGCCATATGAGTAAAAGGCATTGCAGAAGCAATGTTACTGCCATAGTTTGCAATTGCAGAAACTGAAACATTAAACAATCAACATAATTGGACACAATACAATGCCAAAGTTACTGAACTGTCAAGTACTGATACATTAATTGAATTACATCCAACCACCAACATAAATATTTAATACATGGCAATCATTCATAAAACAACAATAAAATCTACCTCTAAGGCTCTAACTGCTAAACAACTCACTTCACTTGTGATTCACTAGTGATTCACTTGTGATACAATATAATACTAAATACAATCCATGAAACAATCTACCAAACAAATGCAAGTTTCTCTCCCTTTGAGTGCTTGGAGGCCAAATTGTGCAGCTCTTTCATTTTAGCTCCCATCTTTTCTTTCTTCTTTTCTAGCTTCAGAATCTTCTCCTCCAACTCTTTTTTCTCCATCAAAAGGTGTTGAATGAAAGTATCCTTATCATTTTTTTTCTCTTCCAGAAAGATACAAGGATTTTCCTCAACCCATTGGAAATAGGAACAATAGATTCATGAAAAAAAAGAACTTTAGAATCGCAGCCCAGTATAACAGTATTAGGTCAATTGTTTAGTTCTAAATTACCTGGAGAAATAAAATACACCATGTTTCAGTTTTAAATTAAAATTAAAATACAAACTTACTTGATTTCACCCCTTATGGAAACATTCAACACTTTCTTCATGTGTGCCCTTGATTTCACCCCCTTTTTCCCCACGAAGATGAGTTGCCTGTAGAAACCATTTTACTTGACCTGTTGCAGAGAAAAAAAGAATTACTTCAAAGCTACTATGCGGCGGACTGGTCAAGCAGAAGAAGAGAAAAAAATTCAGAAAAAAGGAGAAGCGGATAAGAACGATGAGCGGCCAGAGAACTTTTGACGCAGAGTAATGGTTGGCTATGGTGTAATTTAATGAACACGTTGTTCTCACGTGATTTGTACCGGTTAAACAGGGTCGAGTAAGACTTCCATCCGGTTGGGGACCATTAATGGAAAAAGCCCACCTAAGTTGGGACCACCTGATAATAACTATTAGTAGCGATTATTAAAAGCGGACCGAGTATAGTTTGAATTATTAAATCCAATTTTTCCTTTTTAATTTCATAATGATTTTGGGAATAAATCAATAAAACATTGCTTACAATAATCTAATTAATGCTTTACTAAATTGATATGTAAAAAGTATCACGAGTGTATTTTTATTGACGTTATTCGAATGCAGAGAAAATGGATATTGAAGGAGTCTATACACTGTTTCCATATTGACACAATCTATATTTAAGATTTTAGATGATGCAGAAAGCTGACTATGAGTAGCGATGGTGATACATACGGCAAAGAGTATATAGTTCCATGTTTGCTAAATTATTTCATCATTTGCTTCCAAACACCCCTTAGAAAAGTTAATATTTTTTTTCTAGCATCAGTTGTACAATCTCTTGTCAAATTTGAGTGAATACATACACATCTGATTGATATGAGAAAGGTAATTTAGATATAGTGGAGAAAAATGACATTTCCAACAATTACGAATCATTTATATATCCTCTTCCATTTCCCGTTATGATTGACTTTGATGTTTTATGTGTTAACCTCAAATATTAATAAATAAATGAATACATGTTTATGTTTGAGTATATATGCGAGTTGATTTGTGAAGTTGTGCTAACATGCATTTAGAGATAACTTGATGTAATATAACTGAAACTACTTTGACATGTCTATTATAATAAACAAAATATAAATAAAACATTGATAAGAAATAAAAGATAAAAGAGAAATTGATGATCGAGTGTGTGTTCAAATATTTCTAATATGTGTTATGATACATATTGGATGTTAAATTGAGTTTCTTGTAGAAATAAGTTTAAGGTCAAATATAATATTGTTATTGCTTATATTATTTTTGATTCATTTTTAAAATTTTAAAAGTTGAACTGAAAAATAACACTGTTAACTTGTAGTTTTGAGATTATTATTATGAACTTTTCTATTAACAACTTTTATTCAAGAATGTGTAAAAGTAAGAATTATTAGTGTCAAAATATGTCAACTTAATCCTAATTTATTCCAATTTTATAAAAATCACAATTATTTCCAAATTTTCCGTTCCAATTCAATATATCTTTTAATGTGATTTCAGAATACCTAACTTTCATTATTAAAAGTAACTTGCATGTTATAAAATTATAACTAGTAATTAATCATAAAGTGCATAGAAAAGATTGATATGAGATACATAGGGTATTAAATTCTAGGTTTCACTACAGATGGCCCTAAAAATGCTTGGCACACCTTTCTTACATGTCCGGGAAGTGTAGAGCGCTGGAACGAGCTAGGCTTCTTAGCTGAAATAGAACTAGTGATGCACATGACAGAAAGCTTCGTGGAATTCTTTTTGGGAAGAGTTGCTAATCTTACGGAGAAAAAACTGAAAATATTTGGAATGAACCTTTGGAGTATATGGTAGAGAAGAAATAACTTATTGTGGGAGGGAGTCTATGAGACTCCGAAACAAGTGATAAGTATAGGGGCCGAACTGTTGCATGCTTGGGAGAGAGCCCGCTTTTTGCATAGTCCAGCGCAGACTAGGAGTAATAGTTGTACAAGATGGCAA